TCCCGATTCGGGAATTCAAAGTGTTTTCCTTGGAGGAACTGGGATTCCTGATTGTCCTGATGAATTGACAAGGAGGACTACCGCTCTACAGAGACAAATCCGGGAGTAAATTGCGCTACAACTCAGTATGGTCTGTCGGTTCTATACCACTCGATTCGAGTGACTCGAGGCAGGAGTAATTGAAACGCTCAATCCGTATAGAGCCGCCATCGGTTTTTCTGTCAATCAGTTGATAGAAAGGCACACTTTCACAACTGTCAAGTATCGATGGGAAGGAGGTTATTGGTGATGAAGACGCACAGTAGATCTTGAAACATGGCATCCTCCTCTTCTTCCTCGTCAAGTCGGGATGGCCCTTCTGACCATGTCCTGGTCCCTGCTAGTGGCAGCAGCTCAGCGCCCGTCTTAACTGACTATCGGTAGCATGTGGCAGTGGGAGTGTTGGTAAGCTTTTTACAGTGAACGTCATAGACGAAGATATGAACAACGGGAAGCGGAAGTGGCTAGGGAAGAGCAAGAGGTGGTTTTAGGAGAACTACTGATCTAGGTGGAGTCTCATTCAGGACGCCGATCTCGAGTTAGCGAAAACGCTGCAGTCCCATGAGGAGCTACGGCTGCAACAGGAAATGGATTTGAAACATGCTGAGGAGGTCCATCGCGTCCAGGAGATGGAACAGCGACAGAGAGAGCTCAATGAAATCGGGGATCCCCACGTACAGGATGATAGTGGTGTTCGACGGTGAGCGGCGTTGCTGAGCAGCCAGAGCTGTAACAAACCTCAGGCCGATGCGAACCGGCTATACTGAGCGCCTCATCAACGACAGTGAGTTTACCGTCGTGGACGGCGAACCATCAGATAGGTGTTATAGCTGGTGAATGCCAGATTGATTCTTTCTGTGAACTTTTGAGATGCGAAGGGACCTTGTCACGTCAGTTTCCCCTTCCGGTGTCCTTTGATTGGGATATTCCGTACGACTGCGAACAGTGAGCGGGAATTACTTCCTCTCCGAGATCCTGACGACGAGAGTCCCGCAGAGAGTCTAACCACACGCCTTCTCATCAACCGGCAAGGATTCGGCCCCATGAGGTGCTATAAGCGATTCTGATCTGACTAAGATCATCATAGTAATCCCCGTCGTAGGTGGATAACTGCCGCGCTGACGGATGACTCCGATGCTCAAACTGCGTGGAGTTGCTGTCGATGCTTTGGAGGTGACTGTTGGTGCACTAAGCGGATGCTCAGTGCTTGCCTCATGCTCCTCACTGTGAGTCTCATGCTCTTCATTATTGTGGCGATCACCATGATCGATTAAAGTTATAGCAGAAATAGCAACGTAAAATCAGAGGTTTCTTTTTTACTTGAACACGCGTATCGAGTTCTAGTCAGTTCTACCTAATTTCATGGTGAGTCGTGGGATTCGATGTCACTCGACATGCGGCATCGCGATGCGTTGATAGAGAGGATCATTGAGCTCCAGGAGACGCTGAACGAGATGACGCACAGGGCTGAGGATGTCAAGCTGCATAATGCTGCTCTAGAGGAAGAGAATGATCTTCTGAGGGAGTACATTAGGAACTTGATAGCACGGGTAATGCATGACTGATGATCTGGGAACACTCTTTACGTCAGTTGGGAGAAATCCCTTGTATTAGCGGCACCTGCCTAGTACCATCCTCTCCGACCGAGTTGAGGTTCGACAGAAAACCTCGTCCGAGGTAGGTGTAGAGAGTGGATGGTAACATGAATCGAGTAAGTGTTTCGACGGAAGTATTGTGTTGTTAACCTTTTCACGTGCTGGTTTTTTCGGTTTGTGACCTACTGATACTTAATCATCTAGTCCTAACACTTCTATTAGAGCTATCATGGATCTGGTCGAACGAAGGCGCCGACTCATCCAGTCGCCTTTGGTATAGCATGTCCGGTTCCTCTCCTCAACTCTCCAGTGCCCATATCCCAAGCAGCGTCTTTCGCTACTGGACTCGTAGTGAATCGGCGTTCGCTGAGCTCTATCTCTCCCTCTGAGACGAGAATGAGCCTATGCGAGCATAGCATTGACCACTCGGCCCCCATATGTTTTTCCATGGAGGCGATCCACCGTCTTCATCGATATGAGGCCGCACACATGTAAGGTGAGAGTCATGAATACGCCATGTAAGGCAGGCCACAATGGTGGATCCGAACCTCTATCCGAACCTCACTGTGATCGTTTGGAAGACTGGACGCCTAATGAAGTCGCGGATTTCCTCGGCCAGGTGAGAGTTGTCTCCCTCGCGGAAGTTGGTCCCACGGATTCCGTGGCACGGAAGTCAGGTGCTGCTCGATCGACGCCCATTGAGTCTGCCTATCTTTGCTGAATGTTTTGTACTTTTTGGAAACCTACATCACAGGGATAAAACTCCCTGGCCAGGGCAACTATGCCATCCGCAAGATATGCCTCAGTACAACTAATGTCGCTGGCTGGGGCAACTATGCCATCCGCAAGATATGCCTCAGTACAACTAATGCCGCTGGCTGGGGCAACTATGCCATCCGCGAGATATGCCTCAGTACAACTAATGTCGCTGGCTGGGGCAACTATGCCATCCGCAAGATATGCCTCAGTACAACTAATGCCGCTGGCTGGGGCAACTATGCCATCCGCGAGATATGCCTCAGTACAACTAATGTCGCTGGCTGGGGCAACTATGCCATCCGCAAGATATGCCTCAGTACAACTAATGCCGCTGGCTGGGGCAGCTATACCATCCGCAAGATATGCCTCAGTACAACCAATTTTTTGGGTCGGGGCAACTATGCCACCGGAAGATACGCCGCAGGTTCGCGCCATAAGATGGTGACCATCTGATGGTCAATCTCCACGGCACACTACTCCTTTGGATCCCTGAAGTGTATTCCGCTCCTATCGCGTATTCACGTTTCTTGAGTTATGAAAAAGTTACCGATAATAAGCTCCGACGGGGAAGAAGCGGAAAGCTCGAAACAAAATAGTCAGACTAACATGAGTCTGCTTAACCTCAGCGTGAGCAATGCTCGTCGAGCATGAGAATACTCATAGCGGAAGGTAATGCGCGTACATTCTGTCCAGATGGAAAGAATTGGAAAAATGATCAACTTCGGGCACTTCCAGAACCTTGAGCACCTCATCCGACGATCACCAAGATGCCCGGTGTTAGATATATGTCTGGCGGTGCCCAACGATTCCTGAATAAACTGCGGAACTCCCGAGAAAATAATAATCCCCCAAATCTTCTCAAGAGTTTTCTTGTCATCAAGACACGTAGCTGATCATGTATGTATTTTCTCACACAGAGAAGAAGAACAACAGAGTTGTCAACTCTAAGTTGATACATGCTTGAGTTCCTAGTTGGCTTCATAGCTTCCAGTAGTGATTCAATATATACTACGCGAAGTCAAGTTAGAAGAAGATCAAGCTTGTCACCAAAAGTGTGGCTGATCGTAACAATGGAGCCTGATCAAAGATGGACAAAGAGGGAGGCCAGGCACTCAGCCGTTCAGCTTTCGTGTCCCATCTTTGTGTGCTAGTGCAGCGCTTCATTACCGAACCTATATCACCTATCTATCGTTTAGTAATTTGTCTCGTATATCATTGAGGCATCATGATTGTAAGCTTTCGTACATTCTTTCTAATCCAGGTGGTTGCGAGCTTGGTGACAGCCAGTGTTGAATTGGCAGTAACTCGACTTCAACAAGAGTTCCCTGGCCAGGTTCAGACCAGTAATATTCCACCACCCTATAATGAGCGTTTTGATCAAAGCCATGGTTACCGTCCAGCAGCCATGGTCAATGTGAGTTCTTCTGACGACGTCATCGGTGCCCTCGAGATCTGTTATGAAGAGGGTGCTCCTGTAGCAGTCCGCAGTAATGAGGGCAGTTCGTACATCGGGCAATCTACGATCAATGGTGGTATTGTCATGAACCTTGAGAAGTTAGTCGACTTCAGTGTTACCAAGGAAGGTGACGACTACATTGCCTCTCTAGGAGCAGGGTTGAGACTGTTAGAAGTCTATTCTAGGCTAGCCCGTAACGATCCCCCACTCGGTCTGGCTGGAGGCTCTGGTCCGACTGTTGGTGTTGCTGGCTTGATCTCGGGAGGTGGGCATGGTCTATCATCAGCTAAGTATGGCATTACATCCGACCGGCTTGTATCTGCTGATGTTGTTGTCTACAATGATACCACCGGAGAGTTTGAACTAGTCACCGCTACCGCATACAACGAATACTCTGATCTCTTGTTTGCTCTAAGGGGTGGCATGGGTGGCAACTATGGTGTAATTGTCGCACTGCGTTACAGAGCGTTCCCTGTCACCAATGTGGTTGTGATCTCTGGTAAGGATGCTACTATCGACCCCAACCTCCAAGCTCAGCGCATCAAATCTTTCCAAACATTCATGCACTCTTCTGCGGCTGGCCCTGAAATGTTTGGCATCGGCAAGTTCCTGGGTGGCGGTGCTATTCAATACAGCGCACAGTGTATCTGTGACGAGTCTGGTGATTGCTCATCGTGCCATCAGAAGGTGCAAGCCCTTGCTGATACAGTCGGAGTCGATAAATATTCCATCATCGAGCAGAGCTTTGGTGAGGCTATGTGGTTCTGGGCCGACTGCACTGCAGCAGCTTGGATGGACTTCTACCCATCGGATGGCGTAGAGAACTGCAGTGAGAGTCAGCTGGAGACGTCGATGAACGAATGCTGGGATTGGAACACCAATACCCTCGCCAGCCCTTACAAGGCTAAGTCCCTGTACTTCTCCGAGGATATTAGTTTGGATACTTTGGTGGCGATGGCTGAGCTCAGTCTCGATCCTATATGCAAGTGGAACTCGGAGTGTGTCTTACAGTTCGATTTCTACGGCCATGCCATGAGCGAGGAGCCTCGAGACTGCGATCCGTCACAAGGAAAGTGCACTGCATTCGACCACCGAACGAGCGGCTGGCACTTGCAGTTGATCGCCAGTTGGTATCCCGGCGAGGCCACTCCTGAGGCTAGGATACAATGGTTGGATAAGGCATATGATACTGTGTTCCCCGTCTCGCTCAAGCAAGGTTATCAGAACTATATAGACTCTGATCTCGGCCCAGATTTTGCATGGGTTCAGCAGTACTTCCCCGATACCGTCACGTATCCTCGGTTACAACAAGCTAAGTGTAAGTACAACAGCATTGATATGTTCAGCTTTCCTCCCATCGCGGATATGACCGTTCAGATCAACGATAGTATTTGTGGTAAGAAACTCCCAACTACACCGGGGACGACGACCAATCCCGCGACCAGCACAATTCCTGATACTACTGTTACTTCTATTCAATCGACTACGACGATACCCATGACTACTACTACGACGATACCCATGACTACTACTACGACGACACCCAAAACTACTACGATTGCTAAGACAACCTCGAATGCCAAGTTGACCACTACTGAGACCACAACTCTGCGGTCTACGTCGTTAACCAGCACAACTACGTCGACGTCTGTGTCATCCTCAGTATCCACTGGCCCAGCGAGTGATTGTTCGGCTGCTGATGCCAAGTGTGATGCTAGTTACCCCGGATCGTACTGTAAGGTTGATCAGAATCCATCGGTATGCTGGGGAAGCAATGAGCCTTGCCGCTGCGGTGAGTTTTCTACTAGTACGTTTTGGACAAGCATGAAATCATCGACTACTCAATTGGCCAGCACCATGTCCTATCCGTCATCGTCCACTGTAGAGCCGAACTGTCAAGAAGCTGATCGTGAATGCGCGGCCTCGTTCGATGGGTCTTATTGTATGTATTGGAAATCCCCATCGATGTGCTGGGGCTCTAATCAAGCATGTGAATGCTGAATGATGTCTTCCTTATAATCTGGCGATCATCGCTGCTTAGCTTCTACTCCATACGTGGCGATATTCATCTCGCTCGGTCTTATCTTTGTTATTCCGAGTGCTCACTTGGGCCGTGATCGAGTTATCTCTTGACTAGTAGCGTTTGCGTTGAGGGTAACACACAGCGAGCGATATCGTAGTCGGATTATTCATGATGTATATCCGTTTCTCCGTTTCATGTTCGGAGGGCTCGACAAAGCTGCTGATTATTGACAAAAGAGTCTCCGAGTTCAAGCGATTGAACTTCTGGTATAAGGAGCTATTGAATGATTCTCTCAATGGATGAGTTCCTACTAGTATCACGGATCAGGGTTTATTGCTGCTTCGGTCCTATCATAACGAACGTAGCTTGCGGAGAAGAATCCCCACACCACTGAAGCGGACAGGGGGGTTCAAACCTTGTAGTGGTTACTTGGGTTTCGTCCAATGGTATTGATTTGAAACGAAGGCCTTGACCGACACTATTCAGATGGGGAGCTTCATCCTTCCTCGTGGAGCGAGTTCGAAATCAAAGACCTGCAAAGCTTCACACTGCGCTGGGGTTTCATGCTGAAGTCGATCCCGAAAGGGTTTTATCGATGATGTTAGGAATCCCGGCTAGCTTGCTATCTAGGGTATCAAAGCATCTCACAACACCGATTCTGTGGTGTTGGGGTTATCTAGTACTTAGTGTTTCATTTATCGATGGAGGTTCTGCGACCCGCGTGAACCTTAGTCACCTTTCGTCTGTTAGTTTGCATAAATGCTCAACTCAAAATCCCACCGAACCTACGAACCAATACTGCGGGCGAGCGGGGATCTATACTCGCTATCTGCGACAAGACTCTTCCCGAACTGTTCGCTACCCGTCTGGGATTGTAGACCTGTTGTCGTAGCAAAACACAGGGCCTGTACGCATGAGCATTCACGAGGCAGCGAGAACCGTTTCCTCGAGTTCTTGGCTATCGTGCTCGCCTACAGGTTAGTCGTGGACTGCGCACCGACGTCCAGTCCCATAGTTGAGAGTCTTCTGATCTTCACGTGGATTGCGTGTAGTTAATGATAACGATGTTAAAAATAGGTAAATATGTTGGCATTAGATATGTGGTATGGAACATACTGTATGATCGCCTCCATCGTCACCGTCCTGAATACTGTATGCATTTAACAATATTCACAACAAAACAACTGGACATGGTGTATGCTTGGCTCTGTAAACAAGGGAACAAGTTAATATTCGCTTAACAAAGTAACCATTCGACTGATGAATCTGGTAAGATTTAGAACTTGTAAGACTTCTCAATCTCCTTCACGTGATCGAAGGCCCGTTCACCATTGGGGCGGAAAGCACAGTCGAAAGTTCGATGACGGTTCTCAGGAGAGCGAGCGATGTTCTTGATGGTCTCCTGCGAGAGAAACAACCCCCTAAAATGGGAGGACGAGTAACACACACTCTACTTACCATTTCCTGAGAAGAGAGCTCGAAGTCGAACACTTGGAAATTCTCAACAACACGATGAGGCTTAGTGCTCTTGGGAATCACCGTGATGCCGCGCTGAATGTTCCACCTTATACAAACCTGCGAAATAAGTTAAAATATCACAGCTGGAGCTCGCAACACGGATCTACCTGGGCGGGAGATTTGTTGTGAGCTTTGGCAATAGCGACGATATCGGGGTGCTCTAGGATGTTGTATTTTTTCGAACCATCGTCCGGCCTACGAACAACGTGATAAAACCATCTGGGGAAACAGACAGTTCAGGTGGATACTTACATATTAGCTGGACTTCCTAGAGGAGCATAGGCCACAACATGGATATCGTGCTTGTTGCAGTAATCCAACATACGCCATTGAGGGAAGTAGGGATGAACCTGATTCAAGGTGCACTAACATCATATACTGGTGACTAAGTACTCACCTCAATCTGATCCACGACAGGCTTAATGCGGCACATCGAGAGAATCTCATCAATCTCATTGGTGTCGAAGTTACTCACACCAATGGATCGAACCTGGCAAACACGGTTACTCTACATCTCTCAATTTAGCGGCTTCGTACTAGTCCATCATCAACGCACTTCTCCAATTCTTTCCAAGTATCGCTCAACTTGACATTGGTCAGGGCATCGAACTCGCCCTTTGCATTCATTGGCCATTTCCAGTCGGGACTGAGGAAAATGGAAGATTGACAAAATTATTAAGAGAAGCACTCTAGAAGTTACTCTTGAGCAGGATCGTGCTTCTCGAGGGGACAAGGCCAATGCATCAGGATCTGGTCGACGTAGTCCAAGTTGAGCTCCTTGAGGTACTGGACCACCGCAGGTCGCACTAGATCAGGGCGGTAATAGACCAGCCACAACTTGGTAGTGACAAAGAGCTCCCCGCGTGTAACAAGACCTTCCTTGATGGCCTGATTGATGCCTTGACCGACACCGTGATGGTTCTGGTAACTGATAAGGTACCATACAAGACATCACGAAGCAATACGATCCTATATCTCACATAAAAGCGGTATCGATATAACGGTAACCAGTCTTTATACCAGCCACGACGGCAGCGGGAACTACGTCGTCAGGAGTAAGATAAGTACCCAAGCCAATAAGGGGCATCTTCATACCGTTGTTAAGGGTCACGCTCGGCACCTAAATACCACCAACAGTTAAGATACACAACTATCGAGCAAAAAAGGCAAAATGCAGTAAGGTTTCTGGTAGCCGCACTGGAGCCCACCTGTTGCTGACTGGACATAATAGATGAGTGGACTGAGACTGATAAAAGTCTGAACTGCCAAAATATAACACTGAACTGCCATGATAAAAGTGCCATGAGAATG